CGGATGGCAAATATCAATAATTACAACACATGATACAAACTTGTTTAGAACAAGTCCCTAAATTGTTGTTTATGAGTGATCTTCACGATGGTGATGGAGGGATAGGCAAAACGAAGTAAACAATGACAGGAGATTGATGAATATTTCTTTGCAGACCTGACTTCTTTTTTGTCTCAACCCGATCGTCCGATCTCGAAGTCATTGATTTTTTTCTTCTTCAACGACTAGCAACCAAAAAAGAACAATAGTGATGAAATACAAAAATAGAAATCAAATTCATGTGATGTTTGGCTTTGAAGAAGAAATGTCACGCAACTAATTCTGAATAATAAAAATTCAGGTGAGCGTCGCTCTAAGCGCAGAAAACAATTCTAAAGAGCGAAACGCAACGTTTTTCCTCATCGGAGACCCTGGGCAGATATGTCGTCCATCATTCTTCCTTGCATATATGTTTTCGTCAGTTCAGCCTGCAAATATCAACATTCTCGAGAGGCGAACGGCAACAAAATCAATAAAACATAAAGGACATATTTACATACGCAATATTAACGAATATCTAGTCGTATTGGCAAAATTAAAACAATGAAAGAAAGGGCACGAGACTCATGCTGACAAATTCAGTTGTTGTTTTACGTTCTGCTCTTCTAATACGTATGCATGCGCATTTTTATATCACATCAAGTAACACTATATAGATAATTTATGGTTTTCTGCATGCGTATAATCAGTGCAGCATAGTTTCTTATCTGGTTTATGACTACTTTTACAATAAAGATTTGAAACGCTGCCTCGACTCCTACAGTGATGCTCTCCCTCACGTTTTGGAGTTCGCAACTGCTAATTATATGTACGTTTTCTTTATTTTTTGTATGCCTTTCTCGATCAATGGCAACACACAATCAGTGTAGGTTTGAGACAATATTTTCTCTATTCATGTGAACGTTATCGACAATTACAACAGCTTAAATCATCGAATGATGATAATATGGATGCTTGCCTTTTAGTGATCGAGGTAAATGTCCTTGATGACTCCATAACATTAAAAATAATCTGTTTATAATGGATTTAAAATTTAAAAAAATTTAAGTACCGCAGCGATACAGTATAATCTGTGAGAGTACATCTACTTGCCATGGCAATCTATCCCACTGTTAAGACAGAAACATGGGACGCTTGTTTTAGACCCAGCGAGACCTCAGCCATCAACATGTAACATCGCGAGCTCTTTGCTATTAACCACTAGGGCTCACTGGTGAATCAAGTTGATCAAATTCACTAGAATATTATATTGGCAACACATAAAACATAACTATTTCGGTGAATGAAAATTATGAGCTCAGTAGCACATTTTGCCGCAAATGCAACATCATCGCTAAGAACAATGTCACATGGAAGGATAGCTTCGTCTCATTGGCAAATGCCGATGAAGCACAGAAGAAATCAAAAGAAAAAAGTGTCGGTGTCGGTATGTTTTTCTTCCACCCTTATCCATACCCCAGACTCACACCAATATGCAAAAATGATAGACAAAATACCTTATCATTTACAATTGGCCATAGAAAACAATCGAGTGCATGTTTATACACATACAGTTTTATTATAATTTATGTTTTTCAAAATATTTGTATTGTAAACTTTCTTTTTATTAGATTTCGATAACTAGCATTGGCCAACGAATAAAAATGTCACAAAAATCAAGCACGAAAGTTCATGTATGTTAATTCTACCCGTGCACTGCAGTACTAGTTGGGGTTTGAGGTGTAGGTGAGGGGTGAGGGGTGAGTGTGGATGCTCTCTTCACTTAGAGGATACATGTTGGCGTGATGATATTCTGATTACTTTTCCGACGTTCACATCTACACCCACACTCACATCTCCTCCTCCATCTCGCCACACTATCAAAGATCATGAAAGTCGATGTTTCTTGCTCATAAAAAGTGCACGTTGTAATACTTTTTGTGAGAGAAAAGGAGTTGATAAAAATTAATCTTTACATACCTGCTTTCATAAGAAAAACCATGTTCTACAACGTATTACAGTAAGTCCTTTTTAGGCATAATAATCTCAACTTATTTATCATTTGCCTGTGTGCACACTGTTCGCTGCACTAAAAAGTGCGTTGAGAGGCGACCTTTTTAGCAAATTTACAAGCACTCAGCTCAACAAGTACAGTAGTTTTCAGGGTTTAACATGAGGATAATACAATTGTTTGAAGCATTTTTTTCTATTCCATCGAATTTCTGCTGTTTATTTTTACATGACACACTTGTTTAACATGCGACACAGTGATACATAAACTGATAATCGACAACGAAAGCTAAGCCCTTTTTATTTTTATGAATGCTCTTATACAAGATTCTTTTCTATTTGTTTACTTTGACGCAAATTGTAAATGGAAACACAACTCTTATCACTCTCAAATTTCTGAGAATATTGGTTTAATGATTGACTCATCATGTATGACTGGCATCGGGGAAAAATCGACGATTATCACTTTGTTTCTTTCATGTTCTTCTCTCTCCATCGCGAGAAAAAGGCAAATGTCGCTCTTTTAGGCTACTGAGAAGAACGTAAGAAGAGGCAATAGTAGATTCGAGTGTTTTTCTCACAATCCAATGGCTAGTATAAGTAGGCTAAGAAACTTATGCAACAATGTCTCAATAAGTGCTGTTTCACAAACGATCGAATTGTGACAGAACGACTACTTAAAGTTAATTTCACTAAGTACGTATAAAAATGATCTCTTCTCTTTTTAAATAAACAAATTTCTATCGAATTTATTTTTGATGTATTTGAGAAGAGCAGTTTTTTATAGATGTTCGATTTATGCATATGAAATGAAAATTTTTTGAAAAGTTAAGAATCTCAGTTAATGTGTCGTATTCTATTGATATGTAATCAAGTATTCCGCATACGCTTGTGCATCATGATAGATAACGAAAATATAGTTTCCGTCCGTGATCAAATGAAATCCATCAGGTGATGTTTTCATGAAACTAGTTCTCGAACATGTTTTTCCGATTAGAACACGTGACAGAAACATACATCGTTCTCTTGCAGTATTTGGAATAGCAAAAAAGTGACTATAACTTGCACTGGATAAAAAATAAACCCCAACGTCATATGCCGTACCTATAATCATACTTTACACGATAAAAATTTGGAAAAATAAACAAGAAACAATTTCACCATATACTCCAGCAAAGTTTCTATTAAAACCACTTTTTATAATCAACATAGCTGTTTGTTCTGGACAGCCATGATATAAACACTTTTTTGTATTTCGATTTAGTTGTTCTTGAAAGTCTTGCTTTTGAACTGTATTTTGCACTAACAACGTTCATTTTGAATTTGTTCTATTCGTCAGTATCGTATGCAACTTGAGCCTCATCATCAGCTGCATTTATTATTGTCTTCTTCAACACTTCTGACGATGTAGTTCCAACAATAACATCAACCTAGAAAAACAAATACATATATATAGTATTTGAAGGCTCGTCTTCAGATAAGAACTCTCCTCGTGCTACCTTTTGTTCTGTTATATTTCCTCTTGCAACTTCGATCCTTCCATGCCCAATGGGTAAAGTTGCATGTATCATATTCAATGGCGGCTTTGGTTGCTGTAATAGATCAATTTCTTTCTCGAACCCATCATAAACATCCAATCTTTCTGGTTGAATTATAAAAATACAACTGAAATAGAATATTGACTTAATTGATTATATGCTTTTCGAACTATTGTTTGAGCTATGAGACTGACTAAATATCCACCGAGGCTGCAACCGATAGCTGGAAATGCAACACTTTGACAATTTTTATATCCTGCTTGTTCCATGGCATCAGTAACAAATTTGTCGACTGATTGAGACATATTAATAGTATTAAAAGTCAACTGCCCGGGAAGAAAATGAATTTTTTTCGCAGCTAGTTGTCCATCATCTGTAATGGTAGTAAGTGAGGTGTGTGGATTCTTTTGCAATTCAAAGTCATACAGATCTTTCACCAAGTCGCCCACGGCTTCGACTATGTTTTGCAGGAAAATTCTTAACAACTTAGATACGCCAATAACATTGATCTGAACTCAATGACAACCATGGGAATCATAATTTCCGCGAAAGGCTTGAATTTATCTTTTCTGCTGTAAGGTCATCTATCCGAACATCAACTCTTCCAGCCATCTTGGAAATAAAACAAAAATTCTAAAAAATGGTTCTATCGAATTCCATAGAGAAGTATTCTTAGAAAAAATGATCAAATCATATTTGTATGTTTTTCTTCGTAGATAAATGTCGAACCACTTGAATAAGTATTCACTTTCCTTTTTTTCGAGCTGTTCATATGTACTGAAAAGCACGATATTAGGAGTTTTTTAACTAAAGTTTTAGGTAGGTAAACTTCATATGAGTATAAAACTATTGTCGCTCCGGTTTTGTGACTTTCGAAGATACCGAGGATGGGTGTGCGGTGTCGGGTGTGAATGTGGGTAAACAGATTAGCACACCTTACAGATACACTCCACTCCACCCTAGATATCCCACCCACATCTACACCCCACACTCACATCCACATATTCTATCCATATCCACACTCATGCCTGCTAGGATCCGTATTCTCTTTATATTAAATAAAATAAAAAGAACCTAAACCTTCCACAAAAAAGAAAGAAAACAGAAAAAAAAACAAGCAAATACGAACAAAATTATAAAATAAAAAGATTGATCTTAAAATCACCTTTTACAGATAAATCATCACTGTCAATAGAAAAATGTAATAACAACAAACTAAATATCTAGAAGAAAGAGAAGAGAAAGAAGAAGAAGGAGGAGGATCGGTCATCTATACTAGATGGCGATCCTAACATTGTTTATACATATTTTGTTACGAAAAGTCTATAGTCCTTTGTGAGAATGAAAAGCTTGAATACAATAGTATCTTTGAACATAAGATGAGTTCTTTCGCTCGAAGAGTCAATATCTCTTACTCTCTAGAACTGAATGATTTCAAAATAGAACCATACCAGTTGGAACATAAAATATCCACGCAAATATCATAATAACAGCATGTGCTTTCATTAAACTTGTTCCTTCGGACTTGATCAAACGTACATTATAAGAAATTGTTTTTTCTTTATTCAGTTGAATTTTTTGTGATAACGCTGTACGTGATGTATGCATAATCATCTCATCTATTTATATATGAATAGAAGGCAGTTTATTGAATAAAATCTAAATTTACTTGAACTATCTAAATTTCCTATAGCTATAAGTGGAATATAAGTCATAGATTGAGATAGTGGAGAAATATCACGTCGTCGTCGTTTTGTACTACTAAAATTTGATAAAGTAAATTCACAATAAGCTACACCATTATCAAATTTCAGCGAAGTAGAAGTTAATGTACCACCCGAGTTTGCCTGTGTACTAGCTAACACTGGTGGTGAAGTACCACTTGGATTAATACAACGATCAACTGAAATTGTATCGTTATCTAAACGTTTGCAAACAAAAATATGATCTTCACCCTACATATTAAAATATAAGTTTTTATGAAATGCAAATAAGTTTATATACAATACCATTTTGCTATCAAATGAAAGACCTAACGCTACCCATTGTGATGTTTTTAAATTATTAATTTGCATTTTAACAGATGTGACACCATTGTCATATGTCCAACTAATAATACTTCCAGCACTGCTGCTTGACGAAGTAATAGAAGTCTTAGTAGAAGAAGGAGTACTAGTAGAAGGAGAAGTAGCACTAGAAGAAGTAGGAGGAGGAGTAGAAGGAGGAGTAAAAGTAGTAGTAGAAGGAGTAGGAGTAGAAGTGGTAGTAGTAGAAGGAGTAGGAGTAGAAGTGGTAGTAGGAGTAGGAGTAGGAGTAGAAGTGGTAGTAGTAGAAGGAGTAGGAGTAGAAGTGGTAGTAGTTGAATGAGTAGTAGTAGTAGAAGGAGTAGGAGTAGAATGAGTAGTAGTTTTAGAAGGAGTAGTAGTACCAGTTGATGAAGTTGTCTATTATGTATAGAAAATAAAAATGATTTATCAGTATTTTAAAGACAAATTAAGAGAACATTAATTTCAAAACTTGAAGATGTCTATTTTTGTAAATATTTCAGTGAAAAATTTAGTTACAGTGATTGAACAATTTAATAAATAAAAGAAAGCATATCATTATACTTACACTTGCTCCAGTGGTAGTTGGATTACTCTAAAGAGATTTAAATAAAAACTTTTATTCAATAATAATTAAATAAAATTTACACTTTTAGCAGTTAATGTAATACTAAAACAATTAACATATATTTGGTCAAATGTTTCCACAATTGTTGCTCTAAATATTAATTAATATAGATTTAAAATAAAATAAATAAAGTTCATTTACTTGATGACAGTAAATTCTTCATTTATATTTGATGGCGCATGCCAAATTGCTTCTATCGATGATTTATCAGAGGGTGAGTTATGCGTTATACCAGTATTTTTTATTTTATCACAGGCAAGTGTTTTAATATCTGAACCTACTACTGCCCAATTTCCAATAATTTGTTCATTAGTTTTCGTTTTTGCTATTAATAGAATCCCTCTGAATGTATCAGATTCTGTTGAACCACGAACAGTAACTATGATTGAAAAAACATTATTTCACGAAGAAAAATTTTCTTAATTATACTTACTATGAATAGTGTCACCTGCAGAATATTGTAATTTGTCGGATTCCATTGTATATTTCAATGAACATGGTTGAGAAGAAACACCATGCTGAGGCATCATTAATGCGCATGCACTCTGTGGTGCACCAACTGAATTACTGTGCCCAGATTTAATAGAGATTAAAACGAAAACAATCAAATGATACATGAACGAATTCATCTGAAAATAGATTTCTCAATGATGACTAAATCTTGATCTTAAACAATCAAATAAAAATAATTAGAAATGTAAACCGATACGTTGATCGGTAGCAGCGGAAATTTTCGAAAGAAAAAGGAAGAAAACAATGGTAGAGAACTTATTGGCAAGAAACCAGCCGGTAGCATCTGTAAAAACTGATTTGAGACTACGAAATTCTTTTTAAAATCAAACACCGATGTTTATGTCACGGTCACGGTGGGTCAGTCGATTGGCTTACACCTCTAAATGTAATGTTTAAATCGGTTTCGTTCGTTTATTTGTCACAGCAGAAAAGAGTTTTGTTGCCTTCTACCAATAGATCATAGGGACGACATCCTCCAAAACTGTTTTGATTACGTTTATGAGTTTTTTTTATCAAGGCCAGGCAAATTAAGCCAAATTATTTTGGTCATTTTTTCATCTTCTGTTGATTTTTATAAAGAACATTAACAACAAGTTTTTCACGACAAGAAATCTAGTTCCTGGTCTTTATGCACGACAAAAATAAGAATAACTCTACATAAAATAAGATGGCACTACTACGAGGGGATAAGTACAGATCTGAAATTGCCAACATAATTTACTACTGACGTGAGCCTTAGTAGCGATGCTTATAGAATTGAAAAATAAGGTAGAAATTCAGACTAGAATTACGAGTGAGAGTAATACTACTATTATTCGTTGTTTATGATAAAGAAAAGATTATTTGGAAACAAGAATAGATTTTTCTAAAACTTTGTTAAGATTTTGAACAGAAGAAAGAATTCGAGTCTGTAGATGGTTTATTGAAATTGGAGATGTGCAGAAGAAGTTTTTTTCATACTATGTACTCTGACTGGCAAAAACCTGCTAACCGTTATCTTACCCTGCACATCTCTGATTGAAATTGTCGAGTTTTATTTATCAATCAGAAGAGGGCTATTTCAAGATAGAAGCCACATTTTGTAAAAACTTGTCTAAATCTTGAGAGGTAGGTCTCCCGTCACAGATAAAAATGCATCGGAAACTTCAACAAAACTACCTATAGATTCAGATTCGTCAATCACTGCAAATCTTTAGTAAATTTTTACAAAAATTACTAATTATTTTCTCTAAATAAGATATGATACAAAAGTAACGACACAAAATATCGATCCCTCTATTTCTCCATAGATATATAGCTCTGAAAAACATTTTTTAGAATTCGATAACAAATTTTCTTCTCTTTCGAACTGTACATGACTTATTTTTATTAGACACTCATTAACAGAGCAACATGCACAGAAATACGGACACCCAAAAAATAGTTCTGAACATTTTGTACATTTCACAATAGCGACACAAAATGTCAAATACTATGTCTCTTCTTTAAACAAGTGTTAGAATGATCATTTTTTTCTATCAGCTGATAGGAAATTTTCTCTTGTTGCAAACTGCATATAATTTGTTTTTGCCACACGTTCATAAACGAAATGACACGAAGAAAAGAAATGTCTGCACAAGAAATGTATTATCTTTTCATTGATTTATTGCAGAAATCCTGGAAATCATCAAAAATATTAATTGAAACAGTTTTGGTTTTACTGACAGAAAAAGTGTATGAGAATAATTGGAAAGCTAAAAATTTAAATTGATTGACTTCTAGAAGCAAAAATAAATCAAACAATTTAGTAAAACTATATTACAGGCTATGGTTCAAGGCGTTCGGAAGAATCTTCGTCAGATGTGGTATGGAGGACTGTATTCTGTTGTTAAATAAATGCATTTTTTGTTCTTCATATTTTTGTCTAATGAAAAATAAAATTTCTGTTCTTTTTCATTAATAAGTGGCAGCAGTTGATATATCTGCTACTGTCTTAACATTATATTTCAGTTGATTTACAAAATTTTTTCAATAAATTAATAAAAAGATCAGAACTTGTACGGACAGTTTTTTTTCTTTCCTTTCTGTCATTTCGTTCATGAAAACGTGACAAACACACATTGTATATAGTTCAAAAGAAGAGATATAGTAATCGGCATTTTTTTGTCGATATTGTGAAATGTAGAAAAAATTTAGAACTATTTTTAGGGGGTTCGTATTTCTTCGCATGTTGCTATGCTTATTAGTGTCTAATAAAAATAAATCATATATAAACCGAAAGAGAAGAAAATTTCCAATCGAATCGTAAAAAGAATTTTTCCAGAGCCATGTCTATTAAGAAATATAAAGGTCAACAGTTTGTGCCATTACTTTTGCATCGTACGTTGATTTTTTCTTAATGGAAAAAACTGTATTTAAATAGTATTAATCTCACTTATCTATGACTATAACTTCTACCATATGTTACAAAACTCTATGAACACCATAGTACCCTTTTTAACATCTGAGTGTCCTGCCAATATCTCAGCACTATTTCATCATGTTTGAGTGTGATTTGGTGTATAGCGCTATCGTTACCTCCTCATACAACTGCTACAGATTTACCAAAAATAAATTCAACCCGTCTTTTATGCGGTTTTAAATGACAGTAAAAAAGGCATTCTCTTTAAAAACAAAAACCTAAGTCTAAAACTGTTTATAGGGAAGAGAAGTTATCAGTTATCGAGTAATGAGGTAACGGAAAATGCGTGGAATTGATTCTTTCTTCAGGAAATAGATATTTGGAGAAAATCATAATTCTTTAGAAAGTTTGATCAAAGTCTTTTTGATTCCTCGAACCTAAAAACCTTTCGCCGAACTTTATAAGAAATCGTGATTTTCACCAAATAGCTATTTCATGGTGAAAGAATCAAATCCACGAATTTTACGTTACTCCAATACTCGATAACTGACCACGGGAACGTCCTAGCCCTAGCTGTTTACAAGCAAAAAATATTTATTAGCATTTAAATTAATGTCTTATTACATTTTATAACTGTATAAAATAGAAATATGAGCTTGTGAAAATCTTCAACGATGTAACCTCATTAAAAGACCACTATGAGATAGCATACACTCCGATGATACTGATGTAGAAGAAAAATATATGATTTTTCTAACAAGCTTATTAAGAGACTGATATGAATTTACTTTTTGAAAACAAGGTCACTAGTTGTAGTTCCTTGCTGCAAAAAACTATCTACATCTCTTACAAACTATTTTAGTGCTGAATTGTAAATATTTGGTTGTTTGAATCAATGACTCAACTCAATGTTACTCAATTTTCGAGTTTAAATCTTGATTCGAACTTGTCCAGCTCTGCTCTTTCTCTGGTAACTCAATACTCCTCTCACAAAAATAAAACATTTATTATTTATTCAATACAGCCTTAATATTATGAGTCATTACAAACGGTAAGAATGAAAAATAATCACAAGCATTTTTCTTTTAGAAAAAGATAAAAAACAGATTTATGCATCGATTGAATGTCATAAATTACAAGTACATTCTTCTCTTTACTTTTTGATTTCTATTGAATAAGATTTTTCTGTTTAACTTTTACATTTATAAAAAAAGTTTGATATGCAAACACTTATAAAATCATCAACATACCTTTGTAAAAGCTGAAAACCTAGAACACGAATACCTACAAAAAAAACAAGCAATGTAGAAAATGTTATTTTTCTGTGAACCAAGAAAAAACGAAGTTTACTATAGATGATTGCCTGTATTTTTTACATATGATTTATGCTCTATCAGTTACAATTTAGCGATATATATACATATGTTTGTTCGTGACTTTCTTTTTCGTTCTATACTCTTTTATAATTTTGTGTCGAATGCTTCTTAGTCATCAATTGTGGGAATCATATCCTTTTGAATGTATATATACATATTTATAATCCATTATAGAATGCACTTTTATCGATATTAAATAGGGTAATATTTACAATAACGAAAACGGATTCATTTAAAATGAAGTACGTGGCTTATACACTATTGGGTTTTGAATATTAGCCATACAAATACTTTTTTTCTTTATTCTACATCATATAATAATACAATAAAATAAACAATATCTGATTCATAGGTAGCAATAATAATAACGGGCACATTTCTAAGCAATAGTGTTATTGTCACATTCCTACGATATTGATCAGGAATGTTTTTTGCTTTTTTAACTAACTTATCTTCTCTTTTTTCTTCTGTTTATTTTACTTGCTCGAACAAGAGAAACAAAGAGATAGAAAATAGAACATGGTCAATAACAAAATACAAAACATGTTGTTAGTAGGTGTTGAGCACAGATAGCAGACAATGTGCTATTTACTTTCGATCTGAAATTTAAAAAAAAACGTCACTCAATTTTCAACTGAAACGAAAGTCTAGGAAATCTTTAGAATTAGATTATTTTCTATAGTTAATAAACATAAGTCTAAAGGCCACCTAAACTTTCCTGACAATAAAAAGGAGATCTGTCTATTGTAGAAGATAATTACATCCAAACAGGATGTGCTAGATTTCCGATCAGTAAAAAGAAGCTTGTAAGTGTAGCTTCTTTGGTGGTTAAATATCGAATTTACCTGTGTTCTATAGGTTCATTATACTAATACAAAATTCGTTACGTGAAAAATCTCTCACATTCTATAGTAGCTCTCCAAGATAATCGATCACCAGAGAAGCGATCCGCCTCAATTATTTCTGTATTTCGAACAGAATTTATTTTCTATTACTTATTGATGCCTTATTTGTTGTTTGTCTTGTAGCTGTTCGTTCAGCAATTTTTTTTCGTATTCTTAATTTGACATTATTATTATTGCTATAATCATTAACATAACTGACAAATTAACTTGTGATATATATGTCCATTATATTTACAGTAGGTGTCCACGTACTATTATGAATATATATATAGGCTCACAAACACTGATTTTGACTATTTCCTAAAGTTATAGCTGGATCACTTCACTCGTTTTTATGTTGGTCACATGGCGACAATGGTCAATCAGTGTATCGCTACATATCATTCTTGACATTTTAAATATAAACTTTTATCTGTGTACAAAACAAAAACTGTCCTATTTCG